TCTTATAGGCCTAGGTTTGGAGCTCGTTGTTGGGGAGGATCATCGAGCCTATCACTGATGTCTCACTGAGCACAAAGATGTTCCAAACACATCTACAGATCTAGATGGCGTGCTGACAAAGAAGCTTTCAGCTCGAAATCCTCATGAAAGTAGGCTTTGTTGACATAGAACGTCCGAGCATTTAGAATGACCGCAATAGACTTCGGGTCCTCTGGCATCCCGGGCATGTCCGGCAGAACCATTGGTGGCTGGACAGTGTAGCTCCTCGGTAAGAGTATCTAAGGTGATGTCGAATAATTCGAAATCATGCATGATCGAACGATGTACACATGAGAGCTGCAGTTGCACGAGTCACACTGACATTGACATGTTCACACGGTATCTCATAACACCATGAGCGAAAATGCGAGTCATAACATGCATCAGCTGGTTTGAGCTGAGACACAACCGTCCGTTGCGAGAGCAATCGTCTGGCATCGCGTCGGGGATGTCAGTCCGGAGAACATACACCACGTTGTCCCAAGTCGCCTGGGCCTGCTCGTGTCGAACCCGTGCCTGCTCCTCAAGTTTTGCCTTCTTTGTATCGGGCTTCTGAGGGGTCGGGATGGACCCACCAGTCTCCTTTGCCCGCTTCGAAGCTCCTTCCGGATCCCAGTCACGGCTGTACGGATTGTTGTGCACGGTCTCCACCACAACCTCATCAGTAGACCCAGCCGGCTCAGCAGGGAACAAAACCTTGGGCACCACCATCTGCTCTGATGAGCCTGCGGCACCCACGGGATCCTCGCAACCCATAAGCACATCGAAGGCGGTTTCACTCAAGAAGGGCACCGGGGACGAAACAGCCTTGTATGAGGATGTGTTCCGGAGCACCTTGCGGGTGCTGGGTGTTGTTGACACATCCTCCGAGCCACGGTCAGGGGTTTTAAGCGGAGTATCAGGGACGGGTACCTCATGGGCCTCCAGCTCAGATAGAGTCCGTAAGAGCACCTGGCTGTGAATCAGATCCGGGTCTGCTGCCTTGTGCACAGCACACGACTTGGAAGCCACCGGTGCTGAATCATCCACCTGAGCGGCCACTCCATCGTCCTGAGCACACACCTGAGCCACTCCATCGTCCTGAGCACAATGCTGAGCCACTCCATCGTCCTGAGCAC